ACAAATGATCTGATAATTAACAGCAGAGGAAACTGTCTAAGTTCTATATAAAAGTGGAAACAATTTACTATATAAAATCTTTGGTATAGAGTTCGTTATTGCATTCGCTCGTACGTACACGAGTTTAAAAATTAGTCTTCGTGAAAAATTGAAAAAAGAAAGAACAGTTCTATAAGAGTCGTTAAATAAAATATTCTACGTGTAAATGCAGAAGTAAAATCTGACTTGGCTAAAGATTCACTAGTATGCCATACTACTAAATCGCATACTTAAAAAGTTCAATTATCAATTTGTAATTCGAATAAAATTACGCTTCGTAAATTTTAAGCACATTGTTGTAATGTACGATAACCATTTCATATAAAAATGTCTTACTTGATTTTAAATTTAATTCTAAACGTTATGTAATGTAGTGTAACATAAATGCATGTAAGGCACATGTTGCGATATGAAATTTAAAATGAAATGATCGCAATTTTCTGTATAATAGTACGTAACATTACTACTTATGGTTCCAATCGTAAGCGTTTCTTACAATTGGTAGGCAAAAGTTTTCTTATATCGCTGATATTTTCAACTTCCATTCTTAATCTACTAACTTCGTCTTCGTAATTCTGCACCCATTGTGTCTGTACATTCTTAGCGTCTGTTAACGCGCGAATTCTTTGATCTAAATTTGCGGCTGCGATCTCTTTTTCAGCTGCTATTAGACGTTCTTCTAAGCGATTCAAATCAGCGTCATCTAAATTAAAAAATACAGTATAATATGGATTTCTTTCTAGGAGCAGATGATACAGCTAATCGAATATTAACCAACCTATTTCTGGTAAAACTTCGAGTTCTTTTATTATTGCTGCTACGTCGGCTAGAGCTTTGTCCACTTGTTGCGATGCTAATGTTACATTGATTTTCGCTTGTCCGACTTTATGATTTGCCTGAGGAATATAAAATACGATAACGATTATATTGTAGTTAAATATAATATATATAAAATAATATATATTAAATAATAATATAATAATATATATGAATAATATATATATATATAATAATATATAATAATATATTAATAATATATATTAAATATAATATATATTACTATATTATAGTTAAATATAAAATTATAAAGGTTAGTTAACTATAACACGTAGATAGATAAAATCATAACGATTAGGTGTAACTGTAACACGCAGATATGTAGATATTTGTGATGCCTTACCTCCGTTGTGATGTTCGAGTCTTGACTAATTTTTACCTCGTACTGTTTCATCATGGAGTCTGTAGTATCGACTCTAAGATGCAGTTTTTCAGCCTCGTTTCCTACACGAACCGCTTCTATTTTAGTCTTATTCGCTTCAGTTCTAATATCGTTTGCTTTCGCGCTAGCTTCCTCTGCATACGTCTATTAGAAAAAATGTTTTCGTTTAATGCGAAATGAATTATATTTTATCATTCTACGAAAGGATAATTAATATACCTGAGCCTTTTGAGCTGTTTCACGAGTATATTTAGCACTGTCTTCAGATCCACGTAATATTTTCTCCGCTCGTTCTACTTGCCGAGTTGCGTCTATAATTAGTGCTTCGATGTTTTGAATATCTTTCAAGGCATCCTGTGCTTTAATACGTTCACCCTGTACTTCGGCATCGAATGCTGAAAAATAATGCTACATTATTAGACTAAAAAAAAACACACATTAAAGTAATGCTGATCAAATGATAAAAACCTCCTAATTTCTTTAATGTTTCTTGAGCTTCTTTCAAAGTTTGATCACCGCGTTTCACGGCGTCATTTGCCTTCTCATTGGCTTGGTCCAGTTCTGCCAGAAGTTCAGCGGTAGCTCCTTGCTGATCTTGTGCGATTTCTATTAAATCCTCACTTTTCTTTAGTTTATCCACCATCTCTTTTATAAGATTTTCATGGCGATCCAACAACAATTGAGCTTGTTCTTTTAATCGCAATCCCTATAAAAAAATACTTCTCCGTTAAAACATAGATACCTCACAAAACATGTATAGCGTTTATTATTAACCGAAGCTCACCTCCATATTTACATCTTCAACCTGACTTCGTAATTGTTTGATATCAACCGTGGGAAGTGACAAATCTAAAATCAATAAATCTAACGCTTCTTGTGAAACAATAGATGATTTAGTAGCCGCGATGCTGGTCAAGTTTTTCACTTCGTTCATACGGTGTTCTAATAAATCTAATTTACTTTCTAATCCTCGGATATCTTCGCTGAAAACGTAAAATGCCTTTCAAAGATAGTTCAACCTTTCAATTAGTTTTAAAATGTAATGACATACGTTAGATTCGAATATTTTGATATTGCTTTCTTCGCAAGATTATAAGCTTCTATAGTTGTATTCCGTGCTTGTTCCGCCAAAGTATGAATCTTCACAGCTTCGTTGACGTTTCTAAGGATAAATTACGTTTATATTTAGTAGCTACAAATAAACATAAATTTATATAAAATAATTTAGCATCGATTTATTAAAATGATAAAATAATCGTGTAAAGCAACTCATTGCGTACAAGTCAGCTAATCCGCGCGCTTCTTGCGCAATAGCTGTCATCTGTTTGTTCTGTTGACCAACTTGTTCAGCACGGGATTTCGCATCTATCAAAGCTGACGTCCCATTCATGGCTAAATAATCTTCTGCTTCCTAATATTTAAAACATAATTTGCAATATTTACGAATAAGATGTTGTTTCGAAAGTCGCAAGAAAAGGTATTTACGGTTAACTGAGCATGGATCTTATCGAGCACTTTCTCCGCTTCCTCGATGCTGGTCAATCCTTTAGAAGTAGTCTTCTGTACTTCGGAAGCAGTCAAATCAACCGTCTGAGAAATATCAACGATTTCGTTTAACTGATCACGCAATTCGTCCAATTGTTCCACCAAGGTTTTATTTTCACCTGTAACATTCAAATGTATAATTTCGTAATTTCGATGAGATGAGATTATTTTAACCATACATACTGCCAGATCCTTGTTTCGCAATCTTCAAAAGATTTTTCACTTTTTCTTGGACCGTTAACAATTCATTTTCGAAGTCGCTATCTTTTATGACAGTCGGACTGCTGTTAATTTTCCGAAGCGTATTTTCCAATTCGGCTACACGTTCCCTGTGAGTATCGACAGCATCCTGAACAAGATTATAACAATCTGGACAGTCTACGCAACCGTTTTGTCTATTGTGTTTATTTTCCTTACAACGATCACAACGTCTTCCTTCTACATTTGTGAGACACTGGAATGAAATAATAGAAGAATAATCGTATGAAGCACTTCTTGAGGCTGGGAATGAACGTTAACATCGATGAAGCTTACCTGACATTGTCCATTAACGTCGCATTGCAAGTCTTGAGACCCGATTCGGTCACAATCGCAAGGCTTGCAACCTTCTCTGCTAAAACCATATTGATAAGGAAGACAAGCATTGCAATGTTGACCGGTAACACCAGGTCTGCATTCGCATTGACCAGTGACGGCATTGCATGTATGATTGTAAGAACCTTCTGGATCGCAATTACAAGGCGCACAACCCTAGAATTGAAAAAATTCAAATAATTTTTGTCTAGAGAATTATTCGAATAACCTTATTACCTATTATTAATTATTATTTATATATTTTATTAGTTTTATTATTATTTATTATATTTTATTATATTATATATATATATATTATATCTATTATTATATATATTAGTCACTTATTCACGAATAAGGTAATAGGTTAATAACATTATTCGAATAATTAATATAATATAATAATAAAATATAATAAGTAATAATAATAATAATAATATATATATATATATATATATATTATTATTATTATTATTATTATTATTACTTATTATATTTTATTATTTTATATATATATATATATAATAATCGAATAAATAAACTAATAAATAATAATAAAACTAATAAAATATATAAATAATAATTAATAATAGGTAATAAGGTTATTCGAATAATTCTCTAGACAAAAATTATTTGAATTTTTTCAATTCTAGGGTTGTGCGCCTTGTAATTGCGATCCAGAAGGTTCTTACAATCATACATGCAATGCCGTCACTGGTCAATGCGAATGCAGACCTGGTGTTACCGGTCAACATTGCAATGCTTGTCTTCCTTATCAATATGGTTTTAGCAGAGAAGGTTGCAAGCCTTGCGATTGTGACCGAATCGGGTCTCAAGACTTGCAATGCGACGTTAATGGACAATGTCAGGTAAGCTTCATCGATGTTAACGTTCATTCCCAGCCTCAAGAAGTGCTTCATACGATTATTCTTCTATTATTTCATTCCAGTGTCTCACAAATGTAGAAGGAAGACGTTGTGATCGTTGTAAGGAAAATAAACACAATAGACAAAACGGTTGCGTAGACTGTCCAGATTGTTATAATCTTGTTCAGGATGCTGTCGATACTCACAGGGAACGTGTAGCCGAATTGGAAAATACGCTTCGGAAAATTAACAGCAGTCCGACTGTCATAAAAGATAGCGACTTCGAAAATGAATTGTTAACGGTCCAAGAAAAAGTGAAAAATCTTTTGAAGATTGCGAAACAAGGATCTGGCAGTATGTATGGTTAAAATAATCTCATCTCNTAAAGAGACTAATACGTTTTTCTTATTCGTTAGTTATCGACTGAACGAAGTTTGTCCAATTCTGTACGAGATAAATTCAACATACGTACCTCGCCACTCAATATGTGATAATATCCTTCTTCACATTTATCGCAATTTCGGCCGACAACATGCGGCTTACATTTACATTGTCCTGCTAATTGCTCGCAAGGAGCTATCCTGCCATCGTCCAGTACCACCGTACCAGGTGGATAACACTGACACAGCCTACATCCGTCCTCTCTGCGATCGGAAAGAGCATCTCCATAATATCCTAGTAAGATACGTTATTCAGATTAATTTTCAACTGCGCGGAATTTTATCAAATTCTTGGAAAGCTTGAACAACTTATATGTTGATACCTGGCAGACATTCTTCGCAATGAAAACCGGCTGTGTTGTTAACACATTTTAAACACTCCCCAGTTTCTTGATTACAGTTTCGAACAGCGTTCAAATCGATATTATTGTTACAATCGCAAGGTCGGCAGGCTATACCTCTTTCAGGATTTCCAAAGTATCCATCCGAGCATGTTTCGCATCTAGGTCCTGTAGCAGAAGAATAACGATAATTATTCAAGAATTTCCACTAGAATTTTCTGAACACTGGCTGTTACCTGTTCTACCAGATGGACACTCGGAGCAAATAGGATCTGGGTTATTGCCTAGCAATATACATGGTCCATTGTCGGGGCATGGGCAAGGTTTACAATCGTCGGGCGTACCCTTTAACGGATGGCCATAATATCCTCGCCTACACAGTTCACAGTTACTACCTGCGGTATTATGCTGACAGATACACTGACCGGTTTCAGCCTCGCAAATATCCGCGTGGCCATTGCAGTTACAAGGTACACAGAGAGCGAAGGGACCGCCATTAGGCGGATCGTGATGGAATCCGGGTGCACAGGATTCACAAAATTGCCCTACGTAACCATGAGGACATTGACAATGTTCTATCCAATTGACAAATTCGCCGGCAGCTCCTCTGTGAGCGGTTTCCAATTTAACATCGTCTAAAAACCCTCTGCCTTGATGAGTGTAGGTTCCGCGAATTTTGATAGCCTTCAAGTTAGATAAAATAGACATGAATGCTCGTGAAGGCAAACGCGGTTCCCAACCGTACTTGGGGTGCTCGTGAAGCTTGAAATGGTATTCTTGCGATGTCCCACTAGGCACGCGATTATTCTGTCCAAAGATCGGTTGTGTGATTTGTTCACCATTTCCTCCTTCTAGTATTATATCCCGAGCTGTTGGAGCAGGTCCAACTTCTCCAATTCTCAGAGTGAACGCTAAATCTTGATTATAAGATGCTCGTTGATCGCCAAGAAATCTGTCGGGCGCAAGGAAGTAGACGTTGTCCCGATCTAACGCAGTGGCAGATATCGTTTGTGTCAAAGGATCGTAGTGAAGAGGTATAGTGTTTCCAGCAATGGTAGCTGTCCATCGTTCGGGTCCTCTCACAAACATGCTTTCGATCACAGTTTTGGAATAACCAGTTGCCGGTCTGCATACCGATGAATGTCCATAACAGAAGCATGGCGTGCAGCCAAATTCGTTGTCTAACGCAAGGTTAAAGAATCCTGGTCGACATCTGTTAAAAAGAATACAGAATAGTCAGATATCATTACGACAAATTGTTACAATAATTATATAGTTCTATATATTTTCGTACAATAAAATCTTAATTATTATATATTATATTATATATTATTATATTAGTATTATATAGTATTATATTATTATTATATATTAGTATTTTTTTATATTATTATAGTATTATAAATGACTGTACATCATATTAGCAAAATAAGTGACTATAAGTGCAAAAGAAAAAAAACATAGGACCGCGAACGATTAACAGTATAAAATATCAAATTCTTTAGAATTATCCATTCCATTATCTTCATATACTGTGTGAACGACGCGGCCGCCGCGCGTGTCATTTAATTTATAAATGGAGAGTCTACCGCATCGTTCAGATTTTGATTCTGTGATTCGTACTAACATTCGACAGCGTTTTCCTTCGACGTTCTCTTTGCATGTACAAGTTCCGCTAACAGGATCGCAACTCGGTACATTCGCCAAAGAACCGGCTTCGTCGCATTCGCACGAAGTGCAGCCATATGAACCGAAGTTGTAGTAATTAGCAGCGCAACGATCGCATTTGTTTCCTGTGACACCCGGCTTACACTGACACTTTCCTTCGCTGTTGCATTGCAAGCTTCTAGATCCTGAAATCACATTTCATTGATATTTTTGTTCATACGATTTTTGTAGATTGATATGTAAAAATTTCTTTGCTGGAAATTCTAGTAAAACCTTAGTAGACTATTTAAAATTTTTAACGATTCAGGCGCATAATAATTTGTCGAACATTATTGGTCGTCTTTTGCTACAATGAACGATATCGTTGCGATATTACCGATTTCATTGCAGTTACAGGGAACGCAGTAGTCTCCTTCAGGATGCTGGTAAAAGTTTTCTCGGCAATGCTCGCAGTTCGCGCCGTCACGATTTGCTCGGCAATCCTGGCAATGACCACCGTGACCGGTGAGCTTGTACAGTTCCTTATCGAAGTAACATCTATCCGAATATCCATTACAGTTGCAAGCTAGAAAAGCAATCAGATAAAAAATTTAATTAAATTAAAAAAGTGAAGCAAAGTCTACTGTGTACAGAATGCATGTTAATGTATATAAAAAGTCATTTCAATATGCTAATAAGTATACCGCAGACCATTATGTAAATGTCCATGCCTATAACTTCCAATAAAAATAGGATAAAAGTATCACAGATTTCTTTTTATTGCACCGACGTTTCTGTGCAATTTCTAAATGCATAAAGGACTGCAGTCTATTAATAACACGTCATCTAGATATTTACTAGACTCAGAGTACCACGGCAGAATGCCGTCCCATCTCGAAGACAGACAGATCGTTATGCTCGAGAATACTAAAGACAGGATCGCTGCAACTTTCAACAGAAAATCCATATTAGATTTTCAATATAACCGGAGGAGATCTGTCTCACTTTGATTATCCGCAAGTTCTATATAATTATTTTTTTTTCATTGTTTCATCCCACAGTAGTTAATGGGATCGCGCGATTTAAACGCGTTCGAGATCGTTTGTCGTTTAATAAACTCCCATCGATTCATTCAATAGTCCAATATTCTACAGTTTGATCGTTCGTTCTCATCGTCACGGAATCACAATCGAAATCTGTTGTACGATCGATTGCACAACCAATGAAATAAATAGAATAAAATAAATAAACAAACAAACAAAGAAGTAGATAAACGGTGACTCGCAACGCGGTAACGTGAGCACTGAGCTCACGAGCTACAGAAAAGCTGCATTGTGTGCCCCTGCATTGCCAACAATCCCCACTTCAGAACAAGCAATGAACGTAAAAGGTAAAGCTGGTTAGGTAATGCCCGGCATGATCGTGAACGCAAACTCTCTTCGGCTGCCCAATAAAGCGATACTTATAATAACGAAAAAATGTTTTATCGACCAACCGTTGGATATCTTGAAAATTAATGATAATAATGCTAGACCCACGCGATTAATTCCTTTTTATTGTTCGATGAAAGCAGATTTTATTGAAACTTATTATTAGCAAAATTTAGAAGAAACAAAATTTATTAGAACTGCGATAAGTAATTCTTTGAACAATATTGAACACCGTATCTGATTATTTATAGTTGCAAACGTCTCATTTTGTATCGCGGCCAATGTGTCTTATACACGCTTCGTAATTTGATTTTAATCGGAAACAAATAAGTCATCTCGAGTGGGTTGTCTTAGGTAAAGTAGTTAATTGCTCGAGATGCGATGCGCTTTCGATAACGTTAGATAAGGCCGGATTACGGTCAAGTCAGATGCGATGAATCCACCTATATTGAATCGAGACGATTAACACGTTCCATTCTCTCAGTTCTCGGCGAATTAGCAACACATTACTGTTACTGCCTCCTTTTCTGTATTTCTGTATTTAATAATAAACTAAACTCTAATAATAACTAAACTTTTAATAATGAACTAAACTCTTTTCTGTATTTAATAATAAACTAAATTGTTGCATGTTCATTCAAACTATGAATTATAAAAATATCAGTGCATTTGCATGTCTTTAGCAGGGGGGGGGGGGGAAAAAAAGGATAAATCTGAATTATTACTTATGCATGAAAGCACATTGGCAGTGCAGTATAAAATAAACAATACAAAATGTATTGTTTACATATACAAAATGTGGATCATGTTCCATTTAGAAACACTCATCTTTCTTTCAAAATAGTATTTGATATAATTTGTCAAAACTCCTTTATCTATACGAAAAATAATAAGACCTCTGATACACGAATAATTTACACAAATTTTAACAATTTACTCACTAAAGTATCATAGTGGAACTGCGCAAGAAGTCTGGAATGTTTGCCTCTCTGTTTCATTTCGATACAAAAAAAAAATGGAAAATATTTTACAATTAGAAAAATAAAAATTGAATACTCACGTTTGCATTCGTGAGCATCTGTGGTAGTAGCACGTCCCCAAGGCGCGTCGTTGTAAAATGGTAAGCATTCGTTGCAATCTGGTCCCGCAGTATTGTGCTCGCATCTGTGTAGAATATATTTCATGCACACACACACGTTTCAAAAATTATGGTTACAAGCTGGAAGCTGTTTCGGAGAACTCGCTACCATGTCTCCTCTTTTTATCAATTTTGCCAATGNTCTGTATTTAATAATAAACTAAATTGTTGCATGTTCATTCAAACTATGAATTATAAAAATATCAGTGCATTTGCATGTCTTTAGCAGGGGGGGGGGGGGGCAAAAAAGGATAAATCTGAATTATTACTTATGCATGAAAGCACATTGGCAGTGCAGTATAAAATAAACAATACAAAATGTATTGTTTACATATACAAAATGTGGATCATGTTCCATTTAGAAACACTCATCTTTCTTTCAAAATAGTATTTGATATAATTTGTCAAAACTCCTTTATCTATACGAAAAATAATAAGACCTCTGATACACGAATAATTTACACAAATTTTAACAATTTACTCACTAAAGTATCATAGTGGAACTGCGCAAGAAGTCTGGAATGTTTGCCTCTCTGTTTCATTTCGATACAAAAAAAAAATGGAAAATATTTTACAATTAGAAAAATAAAAATTGAATACTCACGTTTGCATTCGTGAGCATCTGTGGTAGTAGCACGTCCCCAAGGCGCGTCGTTGTAAAATGGTAAGCATTCGTTGCAATCTGGTCCCGCAGTATTGTGCTCGCATCTGTGTAGAATATATTTCATGCACACACACACGTTTCAAAAATTATGGTTACAAGCTGGAAGCTGTTTCGGAGAACTCGCTACCATGTCTCCTCTTTTTATCAATTTTGCCAATGATACTTGTAAATATATAATACTTGATATAAGATACTTGAAAATGTAGAAATAGCGATGTATAATGAATAAAAAAAAAGTGATAGTCAAAATACATCGAACACGAAAGAATACGATGAATTTTGATAACCATTTATACACATATGTTTTAATTTAATTACTTTCACATCTTACCTACACACTCTGCGAGTTCTTCCGTCCACGCTGGTACTGTTTACGCATTCTCCAGCGTGGCCATTACAAGCGCAACGTGCTCCAACAGCAACGTCAGCGATGGCATAGTAGTATGACTTCAATACGTTATCATCGCCAAACACTTCGTCACCGAACGTGTTCTGTCTATCCAGAGTAATCCTTAGATCTACTGCTTGAACCCATTCCTTAAAACGCAAGCATCGTTCAACATTGACAGAAAATTTTTAAATACGAATTAACTTAAAATTCTGGGTTATAGAATCGGAACATATGAAATGAGTTATATGAATTATCAGTAGACTGTAGATTCTATGAGTTTATGGCAAAACTAAGTAGTATAAATACAGAACAGTAGAAAGATTCAAGGAATTTGAATATTCCGATTAAGATTGTTAAAGGAAGAAAAAAAATGTCTAACTGCTTCTTAAACAAATTTGAACAAAGATCCGCAAATTATTTATCAGTGGAGCCAGTCACTGTGGGTTGACCAATTGCTGTGCCTTCAGTTTGTTTTCGGACATAATTAACTGTATATTTATCGAATAAAACATATACAATTGTTTTATTCTTTTATTTTGTTTATTTTTGAATACAAAAATTGAACACGTCTTAACGGATAAATACCGAGTTAATTATGCCCGAAAACAAACCAAAAGCAATTGGTCACAACGCACGCCAGCAATTGGTCACACCACAGTAACCGGCTCCACTACCCTATAAGCAATTTAAAACGAGTTGCTTTCATTGTTCGGTATATACCTGTAAAGCCGCGTTTGTTTCGAAGTTGTAAGCGGAAGGTCGACCCTCTAAGGTAGAGAACGCGACCGTGCCCTTTGTTAAGGGCGATATGTCCGAATATTCCGAGGTGCAAAGCACCCTCGTGTCATCGCCTCTGACAGTCTCTTTTGAATCTGGTAAACCATAATTGTCTCTGCAAGACGCGGAATAATACTGATAAGGCTCCCACGACGAGTCTTCGTTTTTCCTCTTGTAAATCCCCCAGCTCTCTGGACGTGGTGACTCGAACAACACCCTGACGTAAGTTATATCAAACGTTTTTCCTGCAATTAGAATTATTTATTAATATCTTGATAAGTACGAGAATTGTTAAGTAAGTTCGTTGTAATTCTACTTTATGTAAAAAGGTTCGGGAACCTAAGTTCTACGCCACTGCGATGCTTCTAAAGTCACGGTTATTCGAATGTAAATAAAAAAGCCCTTCGTATTACATATTCCTATTTCCGAGGTAATTTCGCATTGACACATCTCTGCGATTCATGCGGATATATTCCGAGAAAAGAGCAACGTATAAATGAAAATTGATCTAAAATTGTTAAAATCAGTCAGAATTAATTACACCTTTTTTTATCGTGAACGAGTGGAAGCGATCAAAAAAAGTTTCGAAAAATTATAAAGAATTCGTTGACGTTGAAACGAATCAAAGAATAAGTTCTACGCCATTGCAATTCTCCACTGTAGAGCCAGCGGGGTGCAAGTGGCTGATTCTTTCGTAAACGAACATATGGTGCACAGACAAAGAATCTATACGGTTTCCATTTTGAAAAAGACTGCTTGTAGAAGAAGTTGTAATCGTTCGGACCCCGTCTTCAATTTGTCATATGAGTCAATCGATATAAAAAAATAGTTAAAATATTTATAATATTATATTTAATATAATTAATTAATAATATAATATTTATAATATTATATTTAATATATAATTAATTAATAATATAATATTTATAATATTATATTTAATATATAATTAATTAATAATATAATATTTATAATATTATATTTAATATATAATTAATTAATAATATAATATTTATAATATTATATTTAATATATAATTAATTAATAATATAATATTTATAATATTATATTTAATATATAATTAATTAATAATATAATATTTATAATATTATATTTAATATTTATAAAAAATTGAATTCAGTGCCCCCGAAAACATATGTATACGGTTGAGAAATATTGCAACTCGAAAGATTACCACCTAACGGCATGGACTATTAGCGGATGCTGAAGTTGCAACGTTAGAGTCTTCCTGACAGTAACGTTTGCCGTGCTATTTATTTCAAAGGCACCGTATATCCTCCTTTAAAATTTAATTATACAGTTAGCCTCCTCTCGAAATGCTAATGAAATTAACAGTCGAAAAATAAAATATTCACGCCTGGATCCCATCGCTCGCGCCTATGTTTCTTCATCGTTCGTGTTCCGAGAATTATCTCATCGCGCACGCATCCTGATAGATAAGAAAGTAAAATGGAAAAAGATGGCGCCGGGAGAAAGAGAGCGACAAACATTGAGGACGTGTTGAAAGTTCATCACGGACACCGATGAATGAACTCTTTCTCTATCTACATACGGTTAGGAGATTCGCTAAGTTTATCTAATTCCGTGAAATATTAATATGGTCGACTCTAATCAAAATCGAACCGTGACGACATCCGATCACGGTGGACATAATTAGGATAATTTTTCAGTTGTTAATGGTAGATAAACAAAATAACGATCTTATTAAAATCGTACCCAGATGAAGCGTAAGATTCACTTGATTCGGATATTCGATGCCTTCGAACATCGTCTCCGACTGCCACCAGGTTGCATTGTCATTGTTATCGTGATCGGTGAGAAATAAAGCCGGGTGATCGCCGTACTGACATATCTCGCATGATTTTCTAGGCACTCCTGTTTGTTTGCAAAATTCGGTCGGTCTTTCTTGGCCGCATATGTTCGTTGCTTCCATGGGTACGTTGAACGCTGCATTCTCAAAAGGTGGTATGCATCTCTGCAATGTGAAACATTGAAAATCATTTCTTGGTTGATACGATTCATCTCCCTGTTGTATAGCTTTTTTTTCTACGCGCGCAGCTAGAATTATATTCCATTCGATTAATTTGGGTTATATTCTTTCAATTTATATATTTTTATATATTATATATATATATTTTATATAATAATAGTAATAATAATTATATTATAATAATATATATATATAATAATAATATAATAATATTATATATATAATTATTATAATATATTAATTATATAATATATATACTATAATAATATTATAATAAATATATATTTTAATATATAAAATATATTATATTATTTAAAATATATGTTCAATT